CTTGTGATGAAGGCAGGACCGAGAGCAGGGCCTCCCCAGATGATCTTAAAGTCCTCAGGGATTCGTAAGGGGAGATTCATTCAGACAGGTAAGTTGGGCCAGAACCGTTTAGGGATTTATGGGCCAAAGCCAGCACTTTGAATTGTGCCCAGTAGCAAACTGGCAGCCAGTGGAGCTGGCGTAACAAGGGGGTTGCATGCTCCCTGAGTGCCGCTCCTGTTAACAACCTGGCTGCCATTCGTTGGACTAGTTGAAGCTTCCGGACCGTCTCCAAAGGCAACCCCACGTAGAGAGTGTTGCAGTAGTCTATACGGGATGTAACCAGAGTGTGGACTACCGTGGCCAGATCAGACTTCCCAAGGTACGGGCGCAGCTGGCGCACAAGCTTTAACTGTGCAAATGCTCCCCTGGCCACCAAGACCTGAGGTTCCAGGCTCAGCAATGAGTCCAAGATCACTCCCAAACTGCGAACCTGCGTTTCAGGGGGAGTGTGACCCCATCCAACACGGGCTGCAACCCTCCAGAAAGGACTAGAGCCACTGTAAACCAGTGCCCCCCAGGCCCATTCCGGCGAGGCATCCCAGAAGGGTACCGTGGTCGATGGTATCGAAGGCCGCTGAGACACACTCCCCCTGTCTAGCTCCCGGCGTAGATCATCAACTGAGGCGACCAAGGCTGTCTTGGTCCCATGTCCCAGTCTAAAGCCAGACTGTGCTGGATCCAGATAATCCGTGTCTTCCAAGAATACCTGGAGTTGTGAGGCCACCACACGGTGTTCCAGGACTTTGCCCCAAAAGGGGAGATTGGAAACAGGCCAATAGTTGACGAATTGAGTGGGGTCCAGTGATGGTTTCTTCAACAGCGGTTTTATTACAGCTTGTTTTAAGCTCACTGGAATGTTGCCTTCCCGAAGGGAGGCATTAACCACCACCTTCACCCACTTGGACAATCCCCTCTGGCCTCCTTTAGAAGCCAGGATGGGCAGGGGTCTGGGATGCATGTGGTCGGCCTCATTCCTCCAAGTATCTTGTCCACATCCTCGGGTTTCACCAACTGAAATGAATCCATCAAAACTGGACAAGCAGATGCTCGTGTTACATTCTCCCTCATCCTTCCTCACCTTTAGAAAGAAGGTAAAAACGTGGATGTGGGACCAGGCCTTCGGGCAATTACGTTAAAAGGACAACTGACAATGTTGACTATGGCTTGGAAGTGGATTATGGGTACGTTAAACGGAGTATTCAGTATACGGCTATTTAAATAGCCACCAGACTGGTAATAGATCAGTGGACTGTAAGTATACTGTTTTAATCTTTATGTCTTAATGTTTATGCTTTTAACTGTTTTGTATTTTATTATGCAGCATCGAATTGTTGCCAATTGGAAGCCGCCCTGAGCCCCCCCCCCCCCGAGGGGTTGAGAAGGGCGGGGTAAAAGTGTTGGAAATAAACAAATAAATAACCAGGGCAATGAGGAGACTAAAGTCATGGTGGTGCGTGGAGCCAAGATATGACGTTGAAAATGTTTTTACTGGAGGCACTTTTTAAAAAAAGGAGTAACTCATGATGACCCCAACCAGAATCCTTTCTTCTAATATCTACAGCCGCCTTCTTCTGAGGTAAATCTTCTTCTCAATAAATGGACGTGAGTCTTGATTATAAAGAACTGATCGAGATATTTATTTAAGGATTCACTGACAATTCAGGGCACTGACTTGCCTTTTTCTCCCTTCTGCTTTCCCCTTCGCTCATGAGCTAATTACTAATTTAAAGAGGCCCAACTGACTCTGTAAACACACAGGCTGAAGACTTAAACCCTCGGGTTCAGGGTCTCCACACACCAGAACCCAACTTCCACTCTTGTCTGCTGACTGAAAGAAACGTACTCTTTCCAAACGCCTGCCCCGGCCGAGTGGCAGTTAGCTCCGCCCCTTTGGCTTCTCTAACTTGGATACATTCTCACAGCCGGTTCCGTCGCTATGGCAACGCCTCAGCTCAGGCGACACATCAGCTGGCCTGCACTTACATCGTAACATCAATCAACATTTTTAAAATGTTAGCTATTGCGTTACAGCCTCTAACCAATGGCAGATAGCAAGCATGGCAGAGAAGGACGGGCACATACAAGCCGCTCCCATCCTTCTCTCCAGATTCCGTCCCTGTCACACCATCTTCTCTGTTGTCTTAACCCTTGAGATTGTTGTGTCTATTAAGAACTGTCTCATTACACACTGGAGGGGAGTCTCTTGCATTCCTATCCATCTTTTTCTACACCACAGTCCGGGGGTCACATGAACCCCAAAAACCATTACCTGGCCGCCCCCTCCCCCCCCCTGCCGAGGAAGAAGCCCTTCCTTCTCTTCTCACCCTGTGGGTCTCTCCCCAGATGCGTTTTGGCCTTCACCTCCCAGAAATCCTCACAACTGGTCAACTGGCTGGGAGTTCTGGGAGTTGTAGGCCACAACACCTGGGGAGAGACCCACAGGGTGAGACCCACTGCTCTAAGCTAAACACACCCAGCTCTTTTGAGACATTCCCTACAGCCCGTCTCTGGAGATATTCTGGCTTGTCAATATCCGTCTTGAGTTGTGCTGCCCAGAACGGGAGACAGAGCGATTGCAGGTGAGGTCTGAGCAAAGCAGGAGAAAGGAGGCTGTGACTTCCTTGGACGTAGACACCACGTCTCCTCTTGGCACAGCCTAGAACCACGCTGGCATTTGTGGCTGCCACATCACACTCTGGTTTTTCAAAATAATTTTTATTCAAAGGCAAGAAAGAAAAGCATGTTTATACAAATTACAATTTTGGGATTTTAAAAAAGGAATCCTTAACAAACATGAAAGACTGAACAACACACGCCGACATAATAAGAAGAAAACTAAGAGAACAACGGATCAAGACAACTCTTGCCGCATGCTAATTTTTATTTATATTTACTCACTCTAAATGCTGTTCTATATTCACTCTTCCGTTTCTAAATATAATAAACTCATTCCTAAAACCCACAATAAACAAAAGTCCCCTCATTGTTATAACTCGTGAATTATTAGTGGGTCCCAATCTCGTTTCATAGAATCCTTGAGTTGGGAGAGACTTTGTGGGCCATCATCCGGTCCAACCCCATTCTGCCAAGAAGCAGGAAAATCTCATTCAAAGCTCCCCCAGCAGATGGCCATCCAGCCTTTTTAAAAGCTTCCAAAGAAGGAGTCTCCACCAGACTCGGAGCAGAGAGTTCCACTGCTGAACAGCTATCACAGTCAGGAAGTTCTTCCTCATGTTCAGGTGGAATCTCCTGTCTTGCGGTTTGAAGCCATGGCTCCACTGCGTCCTAGTAAACAAAGATGCTCCCTCCGTGTTTCCCCGAAAATAAGACACTATTTCCTTTTCAAGAAGACACGCTATGGCTTATTTTCAGGGGATGTCTTATTTGTATATCCATGGCCAGGACTCCAGTGCTCAGGTGGAGAGGAGGAGGAGGAGGCGGCGACCCAGGGCTTGGTCCCTCCTTGGATGGGACAGACAACGCCTTCCTCCCTTACCTCAGTCTTCCCCCCACTTTTCCCACACACTTTTCCCACCCCAGTCTTCCCCTTTTCTAGTTGCCCCCTTCCTATCCCATTCTGTCTTACTTTTCCAGAGACCCCCTTTCCACCTCACTTTCCCACTTTTCCAAACACTCCTTCCCATTCCAACTATTCCCGCTTCCAGGACTTCTTTCTCACCCTCTTCCCAAGTCAGTCTTTCCCACTTTTTTATTATTCATATACGTACAGCATTTCCCTGAAAATGTATACTGCAGTTGCAATAAACTATGGCGATAAGTTGATTATTACTGTTGTATTTGTTGTTGTTACATTTATTCTTGTACTCTATTATTATTACATTAATTTTACTTTGTTATTATTATTACATTTATTATTTTACTCTATCACTATTACTACATTTATTATTTTATTCAGTTAATATCTGTATTTATCATTTTTCTCTATTTATTATTATTAATACATTTATTTTTCTCTATTTATTAGTATTACATTTATTATTTTACTTTATTTATTTATTTGTTTATTTATTTCCGGTATTTCTATCCCGTTCCCTCTCAGGACGGCTTACATTTGGCAGCTATTTGATGCCACTACATATAACAAAGAAATATAATAACAATTAAAACAGTAAGTAAAACATTCATTAAAACAGTAAAAAACAGTGTTGATGGCCGTATCCAGTCAATTCTATATCCAACCTCATCTCCAAAGTGCTATCTATGCCTGTTGTCCAAAAGCCATATAGGGCTTTATAGGTAAAAACCAGCACTTTGAATTGAGCTCAGAAGTGGATCGGCAGCCAGTGGAGCTGGCACAACAAGGGGGTGGTATGCTCCCTGTATGATGCTCTGGCAAATAATCTGGCTGCTGCCCGTTGGACTAGTTGTAATTTCCAAATAGTCTTCAAAGGCAGCCCCATGTAGAGTGCATGTTCTTATTAATACATTTATTATTTTACGCTATCGTTGTTATTATTACACTTATTGTTTTACACTATAATTACATGTCTTATTTTACACTATTTAGTATTATTATTTTATTGTGTTAATATTACTATTTATTATTTTTCTCTATTTATTATTATTACATTTATTATTTTTCTCTATTTATTGTTTTTATTATTACATTTATTATTTTACCCTATTTATTATTATTGGAAGGATACATAAGCACATTTACACTGAAGAAGGTTAGAATAATGATTTAATCAGAGTTGGACAGTCTTATCTTAAATTACAGTTTTATGCAATTATTCAGAAACATTTAACCTATAGATGCCTCAATTAACGTAATTTTATTGCCATCTATTTTTATTTTTATTCTTGAAATCCACCAATAGCTGCTGCATTTCCAACCCTTGGCCTATACTCAAGTCAATAAGTTTTCCAATTTTTTGTGGTAAAATTAGGAGTCTCTTGTTATATTTGGTCAGCTTATACTCAAGTATATACAATATGTGGCTTCTCCCCTGTGTGGGTTCTTTGATGGATACGCAGATGTCCACTCTGACTGAAGCTCTTTCCACATTCCATGCATTTATGTGGTTTCTCCCCTGTGTGGGTTCTTTGATGGGTGCGCAGATGTCCACTGTGACTGAAGCTCTTTCCACATTCCATGCATTTATGTGGCTTCTCCCCTGTGTGGATCCTTTGATGTGTACGCAGACTGTCACTCCGACTGAAGCTCTTTCCACATTCCATGCATTTATGTGGCTTCTCCCCTGTGTGGGTCCTCTGATGGTAATGCAGACTTCCACTCTGACTGAAGCTCTTTCCACATTCCATGCATGTATGTGGCTTCTCTCCTGTGTGCATCCTTTGATGGGTACGCAGATGTCCACTTTCACTGAAGCTCTTTCCACATTCCATGCATTTATGTGGTTTCTCTCCTGTGTGGGTCCTTTGATGCTTATGCAGAGTCCCATTATCACTAAAGCTCTTTCCACATTCCATGCATTTATGTGGCTTCTCTCCTGTGTGGGTCCTTTGATGGTTACGCAGAGTCCCATTTTGACTGAAGCTCTTTCCACATTCCATGCATTTATGTGGCTTCTCCCCTGTGTGGATCCTTTGATGGATACGCAGATGTGAACTCAGTCTGAAGCTCTTTCCACAAACCATGCATTTATGTGGTTTCTCCCCTGTATGGGTCCTTTGATGGGAGCGCAGATTTGAACTCTCACTGAAACTCTTTCCACATTCCATGCATTTATGTGGCTTCTCTCCTGTGTGGGTCCTTTGATGGTTACGCAGAGTCCCATTTTCACTGAAGCTCTTTCCACATTCCATGCATTTATGTGGTTTCTCCCCTGTGTGGACCCTTTGATGGGAACGCAGCTTTCCACTCTCATTGAAGCTCTTTCCACATTCAATGCATTTATGTGGTTTCTCCCCTGTATGTGTCCTTTGATGGATACGCAGATTCCCACTTTGACTGAAGCTCTTTCCACATTCAATGCATTTATGTGGCTTCTCCCCTGTATGGGTCCTTTGATGGGTATGCAGATGTGAACTCCGACTGAAGCTCTTTCCACATTCCATGCATTTATACGGCTTCTCCCCTGTGTGGGTCCTTTGATGGGTACGCAGATTCACACTTTCACTGAAGCTCTTTCCACATTCCATGCATTTATGTGGCTTCTCTCCTGTGTGGACCCTTTGATGGGTATGCAGATTTGCACTGCGACCGAAGCTATTTCCACATTCAATGCCTTTATGTGGTTTCTCTCCTGTGTGGGTCCTTTGATGGTTATGCAGAGTCCCATTTTCACTGAAGCTCTTTCCACATTCCATGCATTTATGTGGCTTCTCTCCTGTGTGGGTCCTTTGATGGGTACGCAGATGTCCACTCCGAATAAAGCTCTTTCCACATTCCACGCATTTATATGGTTTCTCTCCTGTGTGAGTTCGTTGATGTTTAGTAAGAGAACTTTTCCCAGTGAAACATTCCCCACAGTCCATAGAATTATGTAACTCAAGGTTTCCTCCCTTGTGTGTGATTTTGACAAGGAATTGAGATTTTCCATTCTTTTACATTTATGATTCTAATATTATGCCAGAAGGTCACAGATATGTTCTCCTGATTTCCTCTTCTCAGTCCTTGTATTGCTCTAGTCCATTTGAATAAATAAATAACCAAGCCCCACTTTTCACAGCACAATCCTCCCTTTCCTCCTTGAATACACAGCTATGGAGCTTGAAATATAATTTCTCCAACTTTTTTCTTGTGAGTGCTGTGTAATTTCATTCCTGTCCTAAGCCAAAGGGAAGTGTTCTTCTCAAGGTTCATTCAGAGATTACCTGCCAAAGAAACGAGAGGAAAATCTTATCAGGAGCAGAGCACAGAAATATCTCACTGAACAATAAGAACAATAGCTTGGTGCTGTAGCCAAATGCAGGAGAAGAAGGGAGAAAGAGCGGTCCTATTGAGAAGAGCCTTTGCCTGCTGAGAAGTACTTTAACACTTGCCCAACAAAGAGCAAGCCCTGCAAAGAGGGGAGAGTGGCCCACAATTCTCTGCACAAGATTGTGTTAATATTGCAACCCAATCTTTTTAAAGGAAGACTTCTAACAATATGGTCAGCAGAGAAATGGCTCAGGTTGCAAAGTGTTTCCTGCCTAGATCCCACTTCCTCACATCCCAACTCAGAACCTGAGTCACCACCTCTATGGGAAGACCATCCCAAGTGATCCGTCTTGAGAGAAAAAGACTTCATTTCTTCCAACTCAGAAAAAAATATGTTCCTGATCCTCTCTTTCCCTGCAGTGTGATCCCTGCCCCACGTTTCTAAAGCAAGGCACCTGGAGACACTGAGAGCACATTAGGCTGCAGAGCTCTTGATATATTGCATTCTTACAAAACCTATACCACAAAGGTATGAAACATCAGGCAGAACAAATGCAAAGGGAAAAACAGAGCAAACTTCTACACCAAGACCGCAAAAAGAGAGTCAGAGATGTAGAAGCACAGGGTGGAAGGCACTCATCCTAGCAGCAGTACACACGATAAGGGGTATAGAGGAGATGGAAGGATGCTAAATATGATGCTTCTGCTATGGCTCAAGGGGCAGGAGGGAAGCCATCCAGTTCACTGCATCCACTACAGGCCCCTCTTTAGACCTCGGAGCCCATTTGCAGGGGTTTCATTGAGGATCACCTGCCAGCTGAGCTGAGACTGTCATCTGGGTATAGCTAATGCCACCAGGTAAATGGTCCCCCAATTAACCAGAGAGTTTATTGATCACATCCACAAGTACCATGGCCTTCTCCTCACAATTACTGCAGATTGTGGGGCCCACTTTGCCTCCTAGTTTTGGGGAGGGCTCTTCAGTCTCCTGGGAGTACGGCCAGCTCTGAGTCCCGCTTATTGCCCTCCAACGTATTGGCCCAACTGAGAGCGTCCAGCAGGTGCCTCAGCAACACCTGGATTACGGCTTTAATTGCCAACAAGGTGATGGGTTGGAACTGCTTACCTTTCTGGAAATGGCTCAGAATAGGCTTCTAATTGGTTTTCACTGTTTACTTTTTAATAGTGTCAATGTTTGATTTTAATGTGTGTGTTTTCCAGCTTTAAATTATATCCTGTGTTGCTTTTATTGTTAGCAGAAAGCAGGATGGATGATATGATGATGATGATATAACTCTGTAAATTGCAAGGCTGGGCCTTTGTCTTCTGAAACCCTTTGGCCTTCGCAGACCCTTGCGACTATCCCCTTTGACCCCTGGCATGGCCAGATTGGGCACGGAGGGTCCGCGATGCCTGGCCTTGCACAGAAGAGGCACCGGAGCAGGGCAAAGGGACGGGCAGAAGGCACGCAGGGGGACAAGGAGGGGCAAAGGGGGATTTGAACCCTCTGCCATCTGTAGAGTTGGCTACTAATTTAAAAAAACCAAGCCCCCCAAATATATTGGTCAAAAGCGCAATCCATTCTCTGATCCAGATCAAACTGGATTTCTGTCTGGCAGGACGTTGGCTGAATCCATAAGGAGAAGGTGAAATTTATTTATTTACTTAAAACATTTTGATTCTGCCCTTCTCACTCCGACTCAGGGGACTCAGGGCAGGGCACAGCATATATACGGGAAACATTCAACGCTGGAACATAAAACCATAAAGATATACAAACATTAAAATCACTAATATCCACTTTAAAATCATTTGCTTAAAATCCACCTCAGGACACCATTCTATTATTGCTCACTGCCCTGCCCCAAAGGCCTGGTCCCACAGCCAGGTCTTAACCATCCTTCCCAAGGACAGGAGGGAGGGGGCTGAGCTCATCTCACCAGGGAGGGAGTCTCTCATCACCGCCAAACATGCCTGTGAAACGGTCGTGGGACCGGGAGCAGGACCTACCCAGATCTTAACCTTTGCAATGCTTCATTTTTTTTGTCGTGTCAGGAGCAAGTCGCCTCTGGTGTGAGAGAATTGGCTGTCTGCAAGGACATTGCCCAGGGATGTTTTTATCATCCTTGTGGGAGGCTTCTCTCATTTCCCCGCATGAGGAGCTGGAGCTGATAGAGGGAGCTCATCCGCCTCTCCCCGGATTCGAACCTGCGACCTGTCGGTCTTCAGTCCTGCCGGCACAGGGGTTTAACCCACTGCGCCACGGGGGCTGAAAGGGAGATGCGTTCAGACAGGTAATTTGGGCCAGGGCCGTTTAGGGCTTGATAGGCCAAAGCCAGCACTTTGAATTGTGCCCGGTAGCAAACTGGCAGCCAGTGGAGCTGGCGTAACATGGGAGTTGTGTGCTCCTTGTATGCCGCCCCAGTTATTAACCTGGCTGCCTCTCGTTGGACCATTTGAAGCTTCCAAGCAGTCTTCAAAGGCAACCCCAGATAGAGTGTGTTGCAGTACTGTATCCTGGATGTAACAAAGCATGGACTACATTGGCCAAGTCTGACTTCCCAAGGTACGGGCACAACTGGCATACAAGTTTTAATTGTGCGAAAGACCCCCTAGCCACTGTTGCAAACTGTGGTTCCAGGCTCAGTGGTCAGTCCAGGAGAACTCCCAAGCTGCGAACGTGTGCCTTCAAGGGGAGTGTACCCCCATCCAGCAGAGACCGAGACCCTTTACCCTCTTTGGCCTTGCGACTGACCAGGAGGGCCTCTCTCTTGTCAGGATTCAACTTCAGTCTGTTCGCCCTCATCCAGACTGTCACAGCAGCCAGGCACCGGTTCACGACCTGGACAGCCTCCTTAGCATCTGGTGGAAACGAGTGATACGAGTTGGACGTCATCTGCATACAGATGGCATCAAACTCCAAAACTCTGGATAATCTCACCCAGCGGCTTCATGTAGATATTAAACAACATGGGGGACAATACTGAGCCCTGTGGGACACCATAGGACAATGGCTGTGGGGCCGAGCAGGAGTCCCCCAGCAACACCTTCTGGGTACGACCCTCCAGGAAGGGCTGAGCCACTGCAGAAGAGGACCCCCAAGACCCATCCCCACAAGGCACCCCAGAAGGATACCGTGATAGGGGCCCCCGACCACTGGAACTCCCCTCACTCCCTATTTAATCTCTCTTCCTGTCCTTAGGCCAACGTGGTTCAACGGAAGTCCTGGCCTGGGGGGTGGGAAAACAAAGGCTACTGGGCTGGGGAGTAGCTAATCGGGAGCTCCTGGGCTGAAGGGTGAGGAGGAGTAAAGGGCTATTAGGCTGAGGGATAAAGGGCTCTTGGATTGAAGGAGAGAGGATGATGGGCTATGAGGCTGGAAAATAGGGGGTAGGAAGCTATTGGACTGGGGGATAGGGGAACGAGGGCTGTTGGGCTGAGGAATAGGGGTGGATAAGAGTCAGTCCTGGGGGGAGGAGGGGGGCTCTTCCTTTCCCCTCCCCTCCTTTATCTGAACCCCCCTCCCTCCCTCCAAGAGGAACTCTCTCCGCAAAAGCCTCCTTTGTGCTGGGGAAAAACCTGTGTTCGTTCTGTAAAGGGATTGAGAGATAGAAAGGGATTGCTGGGGGTTGAATCAACGCTGTGAGGAAAGCCAAGCTGAGAGAGGCAGGAACTCCAAAGTTTACCCAATAGGTTTTCCTTTATTGCTGTTGTTGTTGTTGTTTCAAAGACTGAAAGAGTCTCCTTCGGGGTGAGAAGGCGGGCTATAGATGTCATAAATAAATGAATGGGCATCTGTGGGGGTGGTTTGAGTGTGCTTTTCCTTCCTGGCAGAAGGGGGCTGGACTGGATGGCCTCTGGGGTCTTCCAATGAATAGTATTGTTAAGTTTGTATTGGTTAAAATTCCCCCAAATCAGTGAATGAGTTGAACATTCTGAAACTTGGGGGGTGGGGTGGGGGGGAACAGTGGTCAATGTGTTCTACCATTGTAGCAAGTTTCATCCCGACAGCTCAAAACACGAGGGAGAAAGGAGCCCTGGAAGCTCCTCCCCCTTGCGCAATTACAAAACGAGAACATGACTTGGCCAGAACGCAGCCTGGCTTGACCCCACGTGTGGCACCAGTTCTGCAAGTCACGTGGCCTTCCTCAGAGCATCCAATTTGGCAAACAATACTGATGTATGGATGTCTAATTAGAAACATTCGATATTCAAAGACCTCAACTTGGATTTCCGGTTTAGGAATGGTGGCAGACTAAATGACCAAAAGCTCTGTCCGTAGTCAAAACGAGGGCAGGGGTTCACCTGGCTACACAGAAATAAGCCCAGGAGAAGTGCGGACCTTTGCAAACTTGGCAACAGTGGTGTAGATGGGGGAAGCTGTGAGTTTTGGGGGTCTCCTGGGGGATTGCAGCTCCCTGGATCAGTGGTTCTCAACCTGTGGGTCCCTCCA